AACCTTCCCCCCCCCCCCCATAATGGAGTCTGTTTTTCAGAAATCCTTAAAAGAAGAGCACCATAAAAGAAAGCTGAATGCAATATAAATGGAGTATTTAAGAAATGTGTGTGGTAATACAAGAAGGGATCAGGTCAAAAATGGGTGAATGACCAGCATTAAACAAATACATTGAGGTTGTTTAGTCATATACAAATAATGAATATGAAGGAAAACTGGGAGGTTGAGAAAGTTCAATAGAAGATCCTCTTCCATTGGAGGCTGAGAGGAAAGGAAAGACAGAGAAAGGTAGAGTGATGGATTTGATGACACTTTCAGAATGAGAGGGATTTAGAGGACAAAAGGCATGTGTGAATCACTGTATGTACAGGGAAGACACAAGGATGGTTTAGAGGGACAGAAAGGTTTGGAACTGTTTATTTCCTTTTTCTTATCACATACCTTTCATTTTCTTTGGATTGATTGGATTGGTTAGGAAACCCTTTTTGCACTTTTCTCCAAAGGATAAAGCATAATCAGTATGTGTGAGAATTACTAAGAAAGCAATTATTGGCTTCATTCCTATTTTTTAATAGTCTTGGAGTTAGTATAGATAAAAGGCATTATTTTTGAACAAAAACAATAATAGCATAACCATTTTAGAAAGTAAAAGGATATATCTATACAGACATAAAGGAGAGATCATTGGTCTGCACTACTTTGCCAGTCAAGCTGATTCCACAGAAGTGATATTTTTACTTAACAACAGGAGCTGAGAGCCTATGTACCATCCTGGTATTCTTAAAGGAATAGTATGGTAGAAAGCAATAATTCATCAAGAAAATCGTGTGGGTCTCTTTTTCCAAAACTCCTTTTAGCCTTTGATGTAATCGTTTTCATAAATCTTTCTCTCTTTTTCTTATTAACTGAGTTGCACCATTTTCTGAGGACCGTCTCGTTTAACAATAATGCTGGGGAACCAGTTTCCTTTGATGAAAGTGGGCAATTGGTGTCAGGATTTGATATCATCAACTGGAGCACATTGCCAAACCAGTCCCTCCTTAGAGTCAAAGTTGGAAGTTTAGATACACCTACTCCTGAAGAAATGAAGTTGACCATTCAGGAGAATGCCATTGTTTGGCCCACCAGTTTTAATCAGGTAGGTTTGATGCATGTTTTGTGTGTCCATCCCTTCAAAAACAACATTAAAAGCAAAGATTCCAAGACCATGTTCTATAGCAGGGCTCTCCAAACTCTTCAGCTCATTGACCCCTTCATGAAGTTTCAGATTCTTCAACAACCCCCAAAATTTATTATATGAAAATAATTTCATAAATAGTACTTTGACAAACAACAAAAGATAGTCTCGTCAACACTATATTGACCACTCTGGAGGACCCTGTTCTCTAGTCAGGTTTCCCAAAAAGTATACCAAGCCTTTCATCTCTTTTGTTTGTTAAAAGTTGAGAATTCAATGTTTTATACAGATGCCATTTATTTATACCTGTTGTTCCCTTCTTCCTTGCAGATTTGTGGAATAATAAAATACTGCTGCTGCTTTGGTCATATAAGCATAATGACATCTTAAAATATGTTGATAAAGAAATAAACTTATGTTAATAGATATTCCCATTTCTAAATACCTTATAATATCATAAATACCTTACTTTGTATTGTCAGATTTTGTTGTTGCTATACGTTTTGCAGAGTACTTAGATACCTCCAAATCGTAGATGCTTCAATACAGTAATACATTCAGTTTTTTTTTTTTTTTTTTTAAGTCAAATGAAACTTCAGAAGGAACAGAATGAAGGAAAGAAAGAACAAGGGAACCATGATTAATTAATAATCCAATATTGTTTCATGTTTAATGTTCTCACATACAGTGCTTGTAGAAACTGAAATCAATGCACTCATGAGTCATGGTTCACAGTTGGCAGTCCTTCAGTTTTTCCCTAGAAGTGCTACAGCCATGCATCAGCTCTCTGTTTGTGATTGGATATTCTGGGTAATATTTTTCATCATGAAAGGCGCTTATAGGCATCTTGGGACATTAGAGCCCTGCAGGAACTTCTGCGGGGAGGCATGGAGGGTCAACAAAGTCAAGATGGCATCCACAGCTATGTCATTTAAGCCTTGTCCTTTGTTTATGCAGTATGAATTGCATGCACAGCACACATTAAAAAAAGTGGGATATTATCACAGTCATGGTTACCATCTTGACATTTTTTACTTCCATGTTCATGTTCCTAACACACACAAAGTTTACAAATATTGGCTCTGAGGCTGAATCCCATTGGAAAGAGACAGAGGAAAAACTGGAAAGGCAACTATTCCATACAAATCCCTGTGTAGTTACCAAATGTTAAAGTTAGGGAACGTCATCATTTTTACTTAACACATTCAGACTTAATGCTGAATATATACTGAAAGAAATTAGAATAAAGGAAGATGACCATGGTTTTAAAATTGGAAGGAAAAACATCGATTATCTGTTCTATGTTGATACCATTCCTCTTATAGTGGAAAATGCAACTGATCTGGAAGCTCAAGTAGTGACAGTCAAGGAACCCTGTGCAAAAATGGGACTATGATTAAATATAAAGGAGACAATAGGTAGAATAGCCAGCCTTAGAACTGAGAGTGAATATATTAAATTGGTGGATAGCTTCTATCTTTTAGATTCCACCAGTATCTTTTAGGTTCCAACAGGAAAGGAATGAGCAGTCAGGAAATATGCCATAAATTAGCACTTTCATAAGGTAGCAGTTATTCAGATGTTCAGATGTTGTGGTATGTTATACCTATAATGATTAGAATTATACAGACAATGGTTTTCCATGTGATTCTCTATGGAAGTAAAAGTTGGACTCTGAAGAAACAGGAGAGAAAGGATATTGATTATTTTCAATGTTGGTTTTGGAAAAGACATTTGAAAATACTATGGATAACCTGGAAAACAAGCAGATGGATCATGAATAAATCAACCAAGAGTTCTCACTTGAGGCACAAATAACCAGGCCCAAATGATCATATTTTGATAAATGTATACTTTTAGGAAAGGTGGAAGAAAAGACCAAAAGAGGATGACCAGCAGCAAAATGGATGGACTTCATTATAGTAGTGATGAGTGCACTGTTGGAAGACCTGAATGACCAGATTGGTGAAAGATCATCCTTGAGAAGTTTTATCTATGTGATCACTAAGACTCAACACAATTTCATAGCACCTAATCAATCAATCAAATTGTGGAATTTGGAGGCTATATTATGTGTGCTCTCTACAAATGGCACCTATAAGGAAATAAATTACTAATTTCTAAAAAGATCGTCATTGGGCAAAATAAATCAAGTGGAGAACTGCACGTCATCTTTTATACTGATTCCCATCTATTTAAATGCATATTTGTGTATGCATGTGTGACTAAAAAGCTTTTTAACTGAATAGATGATGTTGGAGAAAGATCCTGTTGGATTCTAAGCAGGATACATAAGGATTCCTTGATGTCTACTATAGCCACCACATTGATAATGCCTGAATTCAACATTCTCCTTTCCCCTCTTCTACTTTTAAGTTTAGCCCCTTTCGGTGTGCAATGATCATTGTCTTTCAGGTCATAGAAAAACGATGAAAGAAGTGAAGCTATTTTGTTGCTATGACTGCCTTCCATGTGCAGACGGAAAGATTTCAGCACAAGAGGGTAAGATATACATAGATAGAATTTGTTGATCTGATAAGAAGGAATAGAATAGAATAGAATAGAATAGAATAGAATAGAATAGAATAGAATAGAATAGAAAT